AACCAATTGCTGATGATAAAACACGTTGTGCTGTATTTATTTCAACTAATAGTGAACAGCAAAAAATTAAAATTTTGGTTTTTACTCTATGAATTTATTGTTTTTTTAGATACTTCGTTACTTTCACCTCTTGCTTATAGTATATCAACACTTGAATATGCGTTTGAAATTATTCTTGTTCTTTTAACATTAGCTAGTCTATCAGATATAGCTCGTGTTAATGAATTATATCCAGCAGTTGATACAAAAGTTATCCAATCGAAAAAATATGCTACATGACTCTATAATCTAGTAAGCAATTTCCTTATTTATTCTTGTTCAAAAAAAATAAATAAAACTTTTTTGTTTTTTCTAAGGATCAAAATGTTGATGGTGAATCGCAATTACATGGCTCTGAATTAATTATACTTGATCGTTATGCATGCCGTTTATCACCTTCGTTTATAATGGCATGGCGTGGTCGTTTATTAAATATATATCCATCATTATTACCAACATTTTGTCATAGTAGTTTACCAATTCGTGATGCATTACAAGCTGGTGTTCGTATAACTGGTGTTACGATTCATTTTATTGGTGAATCCAATACAGATAATGATGGATCAATAATTGCACAAGTATTTCAGTGATATCAAACGAAACTGGAATTCAATTAGATTATTGCATACACATCGTTGAACAACAATTATATCCAAAAGCACTGTAATATCGTTGCATCAAAAAGGATTGTTTATCAAGGAAAACAACGAATGAGTAAAACAAATTCAATAACAACATTAATATCTTCGTCATGTTAAATAAACTTTTGTCTTTGCCTGTACATTGAATCATATATCATTATATTCCTTCGGTTAAAATAAACGGAACACCTTATTCTCTTCGATTTCTCTCTTATAACAATGCAATTCGGTCTCATTTTTATACTGTTAGTACACTAGTTATTTTTCTATGTGCTCTCAAAATTTTAGGTCTCAAGGTCAAGATTTTGTTGAGAAAATGAGAAATTTATTTTACGTTCTCATGTGTTGTTGTGTCAAAAATGTATAATTATTCTTAGTTCGTTAGTGTTTCTGATTTGTTTTTGCTTAATGTTTTATTCTAATATTTGACTTTCGAACATGGCTAATAGTTGTGGACATCTTCGATAGTGTTCATCTATTATATGTTATGCCTATACTAGGCTGTTAGGTCTAACTACTGCCTCGACAAATTCGCTCGAATGCTATACAATCGAGACATTTCTAAGATCATCCGAAAATCTTTTTACTTGTGGTTGAGACATCGATGATCAAATAATTATAGCAGCCATTAGCCTGTCGAACGTAGATGGTACCTATCTACCACTAGAAAGAAATTTTTTCGAACAGAGCAGATGTATGATGGACTTCTATAACTGACTGAACTAGTATGTATCACACCAATGGTTGGGGCTATAATTGAATCTAACAGCATAGTATAGGCACATCATATAATAGATGAACACTATCGAAGATGTCCACAACTATTAGCCATGTTCGAAAGTCAAATATTAGAATAAAACATTAAGCAAAAACAAATCAGAAACACTAACAAACTAAGAATAATTATACATTTTTGACACAACAACACATGAGAACGTAAAATAAATTTCTCATTTTCTCAACAAAATCTTGACCTTGAGATCTAAAATTTTGAGAGCACATAGAAAAATAACTAGTGTACTAACAGTATAAAAATGAGACCGAATTGCATTGTTATAAGAGGAAAATCGAAGAGAATAAGGTGTTCCGTTTATTTTGACCGGGGGATATATCTGTGCTATTTGTTTCTGGAAATAGTTGGATTCTTTTCTTCTATTTTTCCTTTTTGTAGTCCTATCATCTTCTTAAAAAAAAAAAAACTAAACGAATATATATATATATATATATATATATATATTTATATAACCATGAACAATGAAAATGATTATCATGTACTAAGCAATTTGAAATTCGTTAAAAGAAGGAGAAAGATTTTTGTAGGTCGAATTATAGGGTCTCTGAGAATATTTCGAGCATATTCACTAAGTTGTGACTAACGAAAGAACCTAACTAGATACCATCCTTCCAATTTCAATGAATTTTTACCTCTGTACACTGCAACGTGTTTTAGCGAAAACCCTTAAATGATTTAAGTGTCTATTGAGATTTGATGGAACTATCGAATTTTTGATTTGTCTATTTCTTCGAAGGCCACGCTAGGATTCCTTTTTTTCAGAAAAACCATGCTTTTGAATTTCGTTTTGAAATTACTTCCATCTGGAGGTTTCAGGTACTTGTTTGAAGACTTCGTGTCCTCAAACTATGAACTTTACAAAAATGGACACTTTCTGAATCGCAATGAATAATACAAGAATATTTGAAAAAATTCATAGCTTGGAGATACGAGCTCTTCAAATAAGATGATGTATTTGAGATTTTCAAATTGAAGTAGTTTCAAGACAAAATTCGAAAAAACATATCGAAAACTTAATAGTTCTGCCAAGTCTCAATATGAGAGTGTGGACGAAAAGACCACCCACACCCCAGTATCAATAGTCATCACCATACCTACATTCTCGCTCACAGACACAACGACACCCACACTCTAAGTAGTGAATATGATTGTTTGTTATTCTATCTTTTCTTTATTTTAGATTATATTATAATATCAAATCCATCACCAGTAAATATAAATTATTTATTTTAGATTATATTATGATACCAAATCCATCACCAGTAAATATAAATCATTTATTTTATTTTATTGTTTAAATCAATTTCATCTATAATGTTGAAATGAGTATAGTATACGAGAAAAAGCATCGTATATTAATTGAGTTAGGATAAAATGCAATCGTCCACAATTATATGCAGTTAAAAGTACGACTGTTTACGACAGTATATGTTCCATATACTAACTTCGTTTTTCCCTGTATACGACTACAGAAATTTATAATCGTAACACTGGACCATATAATACGGCGAAACACGGTCGTAACGGACTCCACCTTCCTCGTCCTAGTTAGTGAAGTCAGCTTTTGTACTAAGCGTTTTTATCCATTTTTACGTGATATACTAAGGACAAACAATCAAATATCAAGAACTGACAAGATCTTATCTCTGATCTTGTAAGATCAGACGAAAATTGTAGTCTCAGAAATCTTGTGCTAAGTCGTATTATAAGAGTCTTGAAAGATCTTACTGCCTTGTAAGATATGACTGTAAGACAATAGGAAATCTTATGCAAAAGTAAGATCTTTCAAAAATCTTATAGTATGAATTAGTGTAAGAGTTCTGAGATTAGGATTTTTTGTACGATTTCATCTGGTGTAACAAGATCTTATGTCAGATTTTTCGACTTGAGTAGTGATCCAGAGTGATTTAGTACTTTTTTGTTTGAAAATAATTTATAAAATATGTAATAAGAGTCAGACAAGAATTACCTAAAAATGTATGTTGTCGATCTCAGATGGAAACATTGCGGTCTTCAGATGGCAAGTATTCAAACCGAAAGCTTCCGCTTAAAAGAGTATGACTCATAAGAAGTTTAGCTACGGGAGTAATAAAGAAGTCTGGCTGAACGCTCGATACAAAGCGTATACAATCGAGAGAGTACAATGGAAGTCAAGTCTCTCATTTGTCTCAAAGAAGTGACTCTTTTGAACAATGTCAACACTAAGATCTGAACTCTTCTATGCTGATTTAAACTGTAAAAAAGACTGAAAATTTCTCCTTAAAGTTCTTTATTCAAAGTTATTTGATTCTTGACAATTCTTTGAGGTCACTTTGTTTGAGATTATGAAGAGACAGTAACAAAATTTTATTAATCACATCATCTTCTCGTTTTTGTCGTATGTTTAGACATCTTCATGTTTAATGCAAAGTGAGGACAATTCTTTTTCATCTCTCAATGATTCATTACCTTGTCCTCGTGATGATCCTATTATTGAACGTATTTCATCATCACCTACTGATGCCATGATGATGAAGAAACACATTTTACAATCGTCTTCAAATAATTTTCATGAAATTGGTAAGCATTCTTTCTAGTAACTTTTATAAATCTAGTAGTATTATAGTCCTTTGGTCTCAAATTTAGATTAAGGGATGGCTAGTTTAATCATTCCCTCTGAAACTATTTATTATTTTATTATCATACTTGTGCGTTTGCTAGAAGATAGTATAGGCTATATAATGGTATAATTTTAGTGACAGATCGATCATCAAGCTGGATTTATGAAAAGGCTGAAAGAAAATATGTGTGCAAATAACAAGCGTGACATAGATTTTTCTAACTTTCAACCTTATATGTTTCACATAGATAATAACTGACTTATACAGAAAATTAACATCTTTAATGCCTATCAGACATTCTAATTACTAGATCTGTAATAGCCTCATAGTTATAAGAACTGTGTCAAGTAACTGGTTCTTTTGAAAATAACAGGAACTGATAACCAATTATTTTCAAAAGAATTGACCAGGCAGAGATTGCAATGGAAAAATGCCATTAAAATGAATCTAAAAATAATAAAAATAATGGTGAAAAACTGTCACAAAAATGCCAAAAAATGGTTTTTGTAACAGGCATTAAAATGTTATCTTTTAAACCATCCTCGTTTAGTTCAAAGTAATCACTTTATTGCCTTACACAAGATCCACTTTTTGTGACAGTTTTTCACCATTATTTTTATTACTTTTTGAGGCATTAAAATGCCATGTTTTCATTACAATCTCTACTTGGGTATCGTCCATAATTTTCCGAGACACTCTTCAAACCAATAGTCCAAGATAAACAATTTTCTAATATAAATTTTTGTCGTTTTTATGGTTCAATTTTTGTATAGGTATTTCTTTCGATGCTACTTTTTCCTAACTAAAAGAATATATGAGTTGGTTAAAAATTTATATTAGAAAATTGTTTATCTTGAACTGCTAATTTGAAGAGTATTTCTGAGAATGATGGATAATATTTGTATTAAAAAAATATTTTGTGAATAATTAAAAGACGATTCTGTTGAAAAAAATTAAGTCTGAAAAAAACGAATATTAAAATAAAATGCATCCTTTTTCCTCGATACAGACCAGGCTGATGTTTAGATGGAGAATCTATTCAATCATCTAAAGAACTACCTATTTCACTAATCAATTAGAGTCATTTCTATTGTTTCGTATGGCTTGTAAATGTTTATGAAATTGAATGTTCTAAATGATACCTTGCGTCAATTTTTTATAAATAAAGTTACTCTTAATGAACTGTTTTAAATTGTATATTTTCGCTATTTGGCCAGATAATAACAGAATGAAATACTCAAAGCACGTTATGAAAATGTTCACGAAAAGGATAATTTTCATTATGCACTCGATTCCATCAAATTTTTTATGTACACTGAAGAACATAAATGATCTTAATTGATGAGTTAAATACATTACTCTATAGAGTTTTAAAAGAAGTTCTCCAGTGGAAACGAAAACAACGTTATCTAGTCTATTAACAGAAAAAAAATGTTGAAAATGTAGAAAGAACTATTTTTTGACATCGCTCGTTAGGTTATTCACTTCTCAACTTTCTCCTATACTACTATTCAAACCAGAACTAATATGATTTTATTTTACTTAAAATCTATCGATCATTAAAATGAAACTACAGAGCCTATTTAGGAATTAAGGAGTCAGAGTATGGCGAAAAAAAGTTACTTGATAATGCTAAATAGATAAAACGAAAATTCTAGGAAATACATTAAATCATAAAGAATAACATATTCTGATCTGAATAAACGATGTGCACAGTGTTTTCAATTTCATTGAAACAACATTGTCATTGTCAGTTAGGTCTTACATTCATATCACACATAGAATTTATAATGGCATGAAACAGATTGTTTCATTTTATAGCGAACTATTTTAATTTATGGCTGACGTCTCGATTTGTGTTAGATATTACTCGTCAGTATAAAATTTAATTATAAGACCATATTCTCAATGTTATTCTGGATAACGTGAAAAAACTTGGAGTTTTGTGCATTTAACTTAGAGAGATATGAGAGAATAAATGAACCACATTAGTAAATTATACAACTAATTTATTTGAAGGAAAAATTCTCAAGCATCCAAATTGCTCAAAATAAAATGATCGTCCTTTTGTTACTAATTTTTTGTGTATAGTGTAAACCTTTTGAGTTGTGTTTCGTGATGAGAGAGGTGACATGTTACAATTAGATCATATGGATTTTTAATGAATCAAATTACTTTTTACAATGATCCAGAGTACTATAAACTCTTTTAGTGAAAAGCTTAGGAAAAAAGTCAGCGGATCGTCATAGATATACTCAACCATTTGTTATTATCAACAATATTAAACTAAAAAAATTGAGAATGTTTCATCTAGAAAGTGTCATTGAAGAAAACGAATTTTATATAAATATTTATAAATTGTCAGATTAATGCCTCATGGATTGAACATGTTGTTTCGTCACAAAGGTGTTATCAGATAAAAATTAACTGTGTCTATTCTAATTTTTTTGGCTATTTTTATTTAATAAATAAATACTGTAATAAACATAATAATGATCATGAGTTGATTTGAATAGTAAGCAATAACTTTAATCGATATCCATTATTATGTATTTTTTATAGAAGAATTACAATTTTATCTTCAAGTGCTAACTTTTCAACTTGATTCAAATTAGAAGTTTAATCTTATTAATGCGGTTTCAAAATGTGATTTAAATTCTGATTTTGCTCTAATATAGAGAAGACTTTGCTTCTTAATTATCTACACTATAAATCCGATAACATGCTTTAGAATCTCTTTCGTTCTTCAAGAGTTAGAGAAAATAGTGCTAGCCCAGTTGACTATGATACACTGCGCATTTGATGCACAAAAATGAAATACATTGTCTTTAGAAAAAGACTATGCTATTTTCAATTACAGGCAATCGACCTTAAGAAAAAACGTTAAAATACGGAGTGTCCTAAAAGTCCCACCCTAAAAATTTTCTCTTTTCATTTCACTATGAATTGAACTTCATCGATTCATGATTTTTTTGTGTAATAGGTAAACACACAAATTTTTTATTTCTAGACATAAACTTCAAAAATACTGTTGAAAGCTAAGACCTTTAATCAAAACATAACCTATTCTATTTTCTCTGTTCAGAAAAAGTCTCAAGTAGCTTTTCTTTTTCAACAGCTTCGAGTTGTTGAATGATTCAAATCTTTAAATTGTTCAATACTTTAACGTTCTTTTCACAGAATTTTATTTTAGTATGCCTTTACAAAGACGAAATCAACGGATTCAAATCAAAATCATACAACTAAAACGCACATCAGCAATGAGTTTTTCTAGGAAGAGAAATTAGGATAAATTTTTGTATTCTGCTTAAATAGCCTTGAACAATACTTTTGAAAGTCGCCATTAAAAAGCATATCGCAGTATTTATGAGCAAGTTCAAACGCACTTTTTGCTTCGATTCGCTTGCGATGAGTACCCAAACGAAAACCATAATGACAATATTTACCACTACAGTGGTCAGAGTCAATGTTTATTTCTTTTATAACTAAGCGAATAAGAACAATTAATTAAATCGCTATTGTCAGCAAGAAAAACTCGATTTCGCTGCTAATTTTCCTTACTTATTTTTTACTAATATTTTTTTAAAGAGCTGGATGACTTGGATGCTGATTTTGTTGATTCACTTGGTCTTAAATTAAATCTCATGTTACCAGTTTATGTTCAATGGAAAAAACAATTTGATTTTGAAGATCATGAAGAATCGAATTTTATTACATTTATTCAACAACTTAAAGATGAAGAAATTATAAGTTATTATACTGATCGTATTATTAAAGAAGCTGAACAATGGAATGATGAACACGGTTGTGGTGTTATTGACTTAATTCGATATTCAATCATTGATCGATTAGAAAGTAAACGACAATATCCTATAACTCCATTTGATACTTCACGTCAAAACCAATGGATTGATCAAATTTGTGAATCAGTACGTGATGGTGAATTATCTTATATGCGTCGTTTAAAAATATATTCTATCGATGATTACTTGAGTGATTCAAATGAAAAAGATCTTCGAAACTCAATGAAAATATTTGAAAATAAAACAACTGATGAACAAATTTTTTTTTATCATGGAACTACGGAAATTCATGCTCAATCAATTGTAACATGTGGTATTCGTTTAGTTAAAAGAGGATCACGTCCAGGTGATTTTGGATTCGGATTCTACACAACAAATAATCTCATTGAAGCTTTAAGACATGCAGAAGACAGGTCCATCGCGACTCATGGTGAACAAAGACCTGCTTGTCTTGTATTTTCCATTTCAAAAAATGAATTTAATGCTCATCAACTTATTCGTCTTTTATATGAAGAAAAAGAAGAAGAATTTATTAGAGAGTAAGTTATCAATTTAAAAAAGATTGAATTTCACTACCCTTTGTATAAAGATATAATGATAAGAAAGAAAAAAATTTACTTTTTCTTCTTATTGCTAGATTTAGGTTAAGATTTTAAATTCGTCAATAAACTAGTAGAGAACAAAATTTTGGATATTTTAAGAAAATAATAAATATATCAAGTGAAATATTTTTAGAAATAAAGGCAATCATTTTACTAAAATATCTGTATTTAAAAAATTTTTATTGCTTCACAAAAAAGTGCTGAAGTTATTTAGACAAAATATGATTTTATTAATACAAATTTTTGAATTTCTCCTGATGCTTAATATTATTCTTTTTTTCTTCCATTGTAGAAAGATGGATGAAAGTTCGTTCAACAACAACAATATGTTACAATGGGAAATATTCGTATACAAATGCTTGAACGATGATCCACCATTACCATTAATACACAACAAAGATGCAATAATTGGTCCAAAATCAATAAATTTAAAAGATATTACACTTGGGTATAAACCAATTAAAAAGAGAGGAAGACCAAGACCGATTCAAACAGCAATCATTTCAATGAAGTTGGCTTACATTCTGCTCGATGGACTAAAAGGTGTAATTATCTGGGGTAAAAAAAAGTAACTTTCTTTTTATATAATTTTTTTTGTGCGTTTTTTTTTT